AGAGATAAGGCTGGAGAAGTTACTGTTTGCATTATTCCAGTTAAAATATGGGGTTTCTCAACTACCTGCTTTGTTTAGAGTGTTACACATCTCTTTTCATCGGTACATATACCGTTGTTTACCTATCTATGGAGGAGAAATTCAAATTAATTAATGCTGTCACAGTTTATTGTGCTGTCCACTTGCAACACAACACCAGCAACAGGAACTGTGCACGTTCACAAACTGTCCTCTCGTTTTAAGGAAGATGCTTTCTGGCTCTCTGATTCTGAAACATTTACAAACTATTTGGAGTTATGAGGGGTGCCAAGCTAATCTAGAGGTACCCAAGATTAAACATTAAATGGCTGGAAACGAGCAAAGTGAGCAGCCATGGGCACTTTAAACGTAAAGCCAAGTCCAAATCCTCAAACAGCACTCTGAAGAAATGAAGAGCACAAGAAATGCCTTCACCACCCAAAAATGTCATTCTCACTCGTCTGAAACATGTCCTCACAAACATATAGCACACACATGAAATTATAAACCCTCTCCCCACATGAAAGATTGTGTTATAATAGGGATGCTTAAAGGCTCTGTCACACTATCAGTTAGTATGTTGAGAGAGCATTTGTCTCCTTTCAGTAACTGTCTTATTTGAGCAAATGATGCCCAACCTTGACAGCCATGATGGAGTCAACTACAAAATACAGAGACAGTAGAAAAAAAACTACTGTGACAGACTAGTGCTATACACCATATTCCTGGCTGGCTATGGTGTTAGCAATTAGCATGCCAGCTACAACAAGTTAGTTCATCAATTTTCCCTGCAAATGGTTACTATGTCACCAAGTCTCTAGAACCATTTACTATCTCAAAGTATGGCAAGTATTGATAAAGTAATGGTACTAAACTTCAGGTTTTGTAGCTGTACTTGTACAGAAAAATATCATTACCCAGCCCTAGATACAGTAAAAGAGTAAAGCACCTCATCTGTTGTTGTACTTTATTACTTTAATATAAAAGGTCAGTAGAAGGCAGGAAACCCTGGTGGATTTTTAACGTCTCTATTTCTGGACTCCTTCTTGGCAAGTGTATGTGAGAGAATGGGGTGGGTGTGTGCGAGTGAGAGCGAACAGTTGTATTTTCTCGTTGGTCTGGTTGGTTAACTGTCTGGGCTGGAGTCAAGGGAAAGAATGTAGTCCCATTGAAACTCATTAAAGAGAGTGAGAGGGAGTGAGAGAATGGGTGTGCGTCAAAGTGAAAGACAGAAAGAAAGTTGGATGAAGATATACATAAACTGTTCATCCACTGCCATTATATTCCGATTTGTCACTTAACACAAACTCTTCTTTTTCAGCAGAGAAAGATTGTTGAACTTGAGAGATATGTGGAAAGATTTAAACAAGCAAAGGAAGAGTGGTGTGAAGAAATCGGCAGAAAATATGTGAGAGTGAACAGGGACAAAAGGAAAGAGGAGAAAAAGGAGATGTGGAGAAAAAGAGAAACACAGGAAATCGTGTATCTGAGTGATGGAAAAATAAGGAAAGAAACTATAAGAAGGAAGTGAAAAAAATAAAGGAACAGACAGTGAAATATGGTCAAGTTCAAATTTGTGACGTAGGATATAATAAGCACATAATTTGGCCAAAGCCTGCCTCAGTGTGCACAGGTAATTAGTGGGCAGTTTATGTAATTAGAACAATAAATCACAGAGCAAATTTTAAGGAAGAGGTGCCATCTTTCTGTACATAAACTCAGAAATATATAAAAAAAAAATTATATGCCAAAAAACTCAACAATATTACAATAAAAAAATATAAAAATGCTAAATAATAAAAAATAACCTATAGAATTTACACCAAAAATTAAATAATAAACAAATGAAATGAAAGTGTAAGACAAAAATAACAATTAAAAGAAGGCTGTGTTTTCTGCACAGACATACACTAATAGCTAATAATAACTCCTCATTGAGGACTACTGGTGAAAAAGTACCTTATGGGGAGAGTGGAAAGAAAGTGAAATAAAGTAAAAGAGGTTCAACAGAAGAGATGAAGTAGTGAAAAAGAGACAAGGAAATGGAGAATCAACAGACATAAAACATAAAGTAAATTAGAACATGAGAAATAAAACAGCAGATAAACACAATAAACACAGGACATCAAGACAAAGGAGGAAGATGGAAAGAGACTGTAAGGAACCACAGGCTGACAGTAAGACATGCTAACAGCTGAGGCATTCCTTAGCCGGGGAAAACACTTAGACATGTATGAGTGACTCCTGTGTTTGCTCAGGAGTCCGACAACAGCATCACAACAGTGTTTCACACGCAGAGTGCAGGACGGAAGCAGAAAGACAGGCTAGAAACCTGCACTTCATTTAAATCTTTTTAAATGCTTTAGCAGATAGTATTTCAAGCAGACGCATAAAGCTACTGTAGCTCCGTTTCCCCTGCCACTGTAACACTACAACATTAGGCTAGCAATGTCTCATGTTTCCATTTACAACAATGTTAAAATAAACTTTGGTTTCAGGGTCAGAAACACCAGTTAAGTATGTGTTAAAAGACCAAACTAAGATACACAATCTAATTTATCTGCTTGAGGAGGCAGATAGTATCTTCAGTATCACTCTTCTAGGAGCTAGATATCAAGTAGGGGTGTAATTCACAAGTTTCAAAACAATGTGATCTTATATCGACCCTCTTAGTCAGCGATCACATTTGCAACAATACAATTTCAATTCCATCCTCACAACAATTGCTTCTGATAGGAGAATTTACTCATTATTTTTCTTCCAAGACCAATTCACAGAGAGAGGGTTTTTGATGTGTGTCACTCGCCCGACTCACGCAACAGCCAGAACTCAAGTCTATAAAATGTGTCAAACCACACCAACACAGAGACATGTATAAGACGTGCGTCACCACTGGACATGTTTTTCTGTGCCTCAAGTCTGTTTTTGTTTTCCTCTGGCACATTTAATAAAACGTAATTTTCACAGACAGCTGTTACAATCACATCAATCCTTTGTTATTTTTATGCTGCAAACTTCTTACTGGCATCTGTAATGACCGGCTCCTGGTGTCACTGTGAGCCTTTGGTTTCACTGTCCCATGCAGTATGAGTGAGACAGTGAAATCAATAAATCTATTGTATAGATAAAAATGCTGCTAATTTCCCTCTGATGAGTCCACATGAAGACTGCCGGTGCCTGGTGAGGACAGTTTGACGGCCTTTGTCCACATCCTACAGACTCAAAGCAACATTATCATTCCCTTGGAGTCGTGTTTATGTCTGGCTGATGAGCATAAATCAAGTATCTTTTTAGCTCTAGTTTCATTGGCCCCCGAGAAATATATCTGGCTCTTTAGCTGGTCAGTGCTCCACTGTCTTCACCAGCTAGTCACTGTGTTTGTTTGTGTGCCTGGTGTTTGGCACTGAGCGGGTATTGGACAGTGAGTTTATCAAAGATTGTTAACAAACAGCTGCCTGGTGCTGCTGGAAATGAGTGTGATGAGAGAATGAATAACAACATACAACTATAAGGAGAAAACTCTCTCTTATGTTACATAACCTCATTGCCAGAAGATGCAAACTGTCACCATCACTGAACAACTGCCCAGGTTTTGTCCCAACACATGCAGAGGCCCAGTGCATAAACAGTGCAGTCAGGTCAGGTATTGTTGTTATCATTATTGTTGTCACAAATTAACCAATACTTGACACTGTGGCTCCAATATAGGTGACATTAGCACCCTCCACCCAGCTGAAGTAAAGATAAGTCTCCTTTCTGCAGCTCTTATCTGAGCACAGAGCCAAGGATAGTCAGACTTGCCCTTTGACTCGACACAGTGGCACGGTGGAGATAAAACAAATGGGAATTTCAAACTTTCACAAATTTGGTCCTGCACAGATTTTCTGCTTCTGTGTAAGTCGGATGGAGCTTAAAGGTGAAGTTGTGGTGAGTGGAAGCAACTGTACCTTGTGATACAAACAGTGACAAGCCACTGCAGCAGTTACATTTCTAAGGTTCACTGTGGCACATTTTTTGTTTGTTTGTTGTTGTCTTGTGAAGTTCCTATGGTGACCAAAAGTAAGTGTACACTGCCAACATACTTCAGTATGTGGCAGTGGCCACCCTAACATTCCAGCTAAAACTGATGTTTGAACATGCCGTCACTCTATAACCATGTGCACCGACATGTTGCCATTACAGCCTCCGCTGTTCTGGGAAGTCAGAGCCTTCCACATCAAACTGGGAAAAGTTCCCACAGAGTTGGAAGTACTACTGTCTAAAATAGTGTTGTAAGCTGTAGCACTAGAGTACGCCTGTGGACAAGGAGATTACTATAGCCCAAACCAGGAGACAGCTCCAGACCAAGTTCACTAAAGTATGGGCAGGAGATAATGATTTCACATGGACTTTATGCCATACTGTGAAGGATACACAAAGATATTCTGTGCAGCTACAGTGTGTGATACTTCTTGGACTCACAGGATGATAACCTGTGGGTTTATAATGACTTACTCACCACTGGAATGATATAAGATCCCACAGTGACTTAAAATGCATTAATTTATTCCAGTAGTTCCCAAAATACACACTGCATTGACGTTTCTACATCTTGATTTCTTGTGAAATACTCCAAGCCTTCAAATGAAAAACACTAAAGTTACAGTTTTTAATCTCCTGATTAATTTATATCGTACTCTATGAACTTTATTAAACTTAACTGATATCTAAAGTTCAACTAAATATTATGCAATGTTCATAGTGACTTTTAAACGTTTTTGATATGACTGACGTTGTTACAAATACTCCCCGCTGTTAGTTTTTATCTAATATAGCTTCTGAGAGTTGACGATTCAATAAACAAGGTCTACTGTCTGAACTCCGGCTGCAGTAAACGCGCCGTGAACTCACTGAATTCAGGCCCGGACTCAGTGTAAACAACAGCTGAAAGCGACACTGCGGTCAGGTTAAAAGGCGAGTGTCCAGGTAAATGAGTCGCTTACCTGTTGACGTTCCCTCTGCGACGCTCTGCTTTCGTCTGTCAGACGTCTGTTTCCAGCTGACAGCAGTTTGCACTGTGGGTGGGTCCAGGACTCCACCTGCCGCACACCGGAGCCGTGCGTGATGAGAGCGCGCGGGACTTCGCTGACGCACGCACAACAGTTGTCACGTTATGTGCAACCGCATGGTAGAGGTGAATTACAGGAGGCACGGAACGTGATGTCAGCGGGATAAAAATCACTAATTGAAAGTTCAGTTCTCTGGCACAAAGTTCTTGAGAAGTAGCTCGGACAACTCTCTTTCTCTCACCATTTTTGGAGATGTAGTGCACCAGTGTCACCAAAATGCAACTATTTTAACTATTTAAGGAATGTTCTGTGCCCTTGAGGCATTTTACAGTATGTTCTGTGTTCTTCTCTCTCATAACATTAACGAAGAACTAAATAAGAAAGCGGATTCATTCAGTCAAGTTCTATAAGTACCTACCTACCTACCTACCTACCTACCTACCTACCTACCTACCTACCTACCTACCTACCTACCTACCTACCTACCTACCAACAGCACCAACCTACAGTATCTTGCTTTAAATTGAGTTCCAGTGGGAAACAAACAAAAAATAACAAATTGAAGAATGCATTCATCCTTCTGTGGACTCTTCTTCACTACTAGCCTACATAGGCATATACTGGACTATTCCACTCTATGCATACATGCTGTGCAGGATATTACACATGACACTTGTCTGAGTTGCAAACTAGACCCTGACTGGCTCCCAGACTAGTTGTAATGTCACAAAAATATATGCTCCTATGTGTATGTCACTTAAATTTAAAGGGAAATTAATAACCAGATGTGACAACAAATCCTCCAAACTAAATGACCAGAAGGTATATCAGATAAAGAGCTAAAATCCCCTGTTATGATGTAACAATGCTGTGGTGTATGTTTGGTTAGCTAAAGACACAAAAGACAACTCGGTTAGGTTTACCAAAGGATCATCATCATGGTTAAAACAAACATTTATTTTTGTATCGGTCACTTGGTTTTAGAAGGGACAGACCAATGTGCTTCTAATATGTCATCTGTACTGTGATCCCGAGCTATTGTAATAAACATGAGCAAAATCTGAACACAGTGATTGCACATAAAGCTTACAGTTGAGGTTTGGAGTCTCCTGGAATTGAGAGGAATGGCTGTTGGTTAAACACCCGCTGGTTGCTTAGGTGTCAGACTGAACGCTGAGCTGTTTTGTGTTGGGAAACTTTGATAGCCACACCTTGCATTCCTCTGTGCTGGAGCTGTGAACACACCCATCAGCAGGTTACACTATCAGCTCTCTCACACACACACAAATGGACACCATACCATGCATTCAAATGGGCAGAGTAATACCTCATCAGTATGTGCTGTTGTCCTATAAAGAGCACTTTCTTGAAACAGCCTGTTTCGGGGAAACCTTCAATGAACAAAACTGAAAATATACATAAACCTGAACATGTCATTTTCAAGTTCCAGCAGGTGACTCACCTGAGGAAATCTTTGTCACAATCTGGACTGATGAGGGTGCAGCACATCACTTTATTCTGTACAAATACTGTACACACCTGCTCATAAACCTGATAGGTGCGGACTGAGACAGATGTAGTACAGACATACTGTAACTTTGTGAAGGTGTCTGTTGCTATGAATATTGTAATGCACTTTTCCCACACAGATCACTAGGAAATTCCATTCTAACAAACATGATCCAGTCTGATTCAATTAACATGAGATGACACTGAACTCTGCAATGCCAGATTGGTGTAGTTCTGTAACTGATACCTAAAATTCACTTGTGAATATATATACAGTCCTGTAATAGTTTATCTGTAATTTGAGCAGGAGAAAAAGACACCATGAGAGAAGGGAGGGGAAGTGTCTGTTCCAGAGAGCCAAGCTGTAAGTGCTGACCTGAACTCATCACTACATTTTCTTATCAAATCAACAAGAAAAGGTAATGACAGTAGCTGTGCTGTGAGCTCTGCTATATTAAAATAACTGGAGACAGACTGACACAATCTCACAAAACACGTCATCTCACCCAGGAAGGGCACGAACCAGCGAGTGTTTAGTGGCTGAGCCTTTTCACACGGGGCCTAATAGGGCACAGCCCAAAAACAGTGCATGGAGAATGAGAGGGTCTTTTATGTGGGACGGTGAATCTGAGATTAAGGCTCTGACTGTTGTCTGTACACCAAACTGCAATTTGTAGTATGCAGCCTTCTTGAATGTAAGGTGGGGTCCTGGAAAGGATACCACCTAGGGACCGTACAGAGGGGCAATCTGAAGGAATGGCCTGTCTGTGCTGAACTCAAGTGGTGTTTTGTTTTTGGACTTCTGTGCTAGTTGTGGATTGGCTATGACAAGCACCATGTTCAAGCATAGGGTGGTTCCTAAATGTACAGTATCTTGTACTAGAACACCCTAGACCAAAAAAATAAATGGTCAATTGAGGGGTAGAGGTTAGGTATCTTATTAAGAGGCTGCACTGCTGCGTGTTTAATGACAACTGGAGCAGACCCTGTCTCAAGGCAATGATTGATTAGGGCCAGGATACTTGAGCCTGTAGTATCAAAGACCTCATTGATAAATCGGGAGGGGAGAATGTCAAAGAGCAGTTTTGTAGATTTCAGGTTACTAATATTATCACCTAAGAGTGAGAGAGACAGGCTTAAAATGACTTAGAACAGCACAGGATATGGGACAGCTGAAGCTACATTTGAGCCTCAGACAAACACTGGAGTGAGCTATTCATAAAATGAAAGTTGTGTATTTGTCCCTCATGTTTTGCAGCATAGTGACTTTTCGGGTGGAAACATTCAGGGTCAGTGTGCAGAGTATGAAAAGTGACAATGACTAAGACCTATTCTCACATACACAGGGATACATCAATATTGTTTTTACACCAACCTGAAAAATTCCAGAGTATTCCTTTAATGAGGATGGAGCACACACTGCTTTGTCACCTGCCTCATCAGATTTAATCCTGCTGGTCCAACCACCACAAGGTCCCAAGCTCACTTCTCTGACCTTTAACCTTTAGACTTCTCTAACTACTGCCCCTACACACCCCTGTGTGTAAACCGTACACAGCTCCTCTCTCAGTTTGAAGAAACCCGTC